AGTGTCCTCACAAAGAAAAGATTTCAATGTTTTAGGATTTAATAAAATTACCAGTGATCCAGCATGAAAAGGTGCTAAATTTTGTAGTTAGACAGTCAGACAACGCTAATTCTGAAAAGTCATCTACAAATAAATACACACTTAATGCTAAATACCTTTAACTCGATGACTACATGTAAATACATTTCTCAACAGAGGAGAATTTAAGAATGTCCCAAGAACAGTGATTTGTGCAGTTCATGTGTTAATTACCTAGTGGTCTGCATGAACAGTTCTTCTACAGCTATTTGTCAGAAGTGCCTTTGTCATATTCACAAAACTTGTTTAAAATATTCTTACTATAAAACATAGTGATGCTGGATCCATTTCCCTGTGAAACAAACGTTTTTAAGTCAATAATTAGAAGTTGTGATATGTTTGCTGAACAATGGCAATAAACTTTGTAAATGGTTTTAGTCTGCTGCAAATGTGAAATAATTAATGTTTAGGTTTGTTGTGGGAAGGAAAGCTGAATTCCTCATATTTGCGGAAGCCTAAAAGCATGCATGTGAACATTTACAATGGTTAAGTCATGCTAACTCGATTGTGGGTGTAGCTCAGTATCAACTACTGAAGCAGGGGGCTGAACAGAAAGAGAAGCCGTAAACTCTGACCGCATCCAAATCTAGTGAGATAGACAGACAGATATAAAAATTCTAATTATATCAGTGATTTTCTCATTAAAAAAGACCCTTAATACAGTGTCACTCAGCTTTGAGAGCTTGATCTCTGAAGCTAAAATAGTGAAGAATGGATGCACTAAAAGTGGGAATAGATATTTTCATGCAAGATTATCCTCTATTGAAAAATAGATATTTCATCGTTTTTTGAAGGTATGAACGTGCCGTATCTAGTCCACTAATCAGAATTCGTTCAATTTACAGCAAGAATAGTTACAACTGTAATGACTACGAATGATCTCGCAGGTGAGTAAAGAATGCAATTGCCCGCCTTTCCAAGATAACAGCTGCCATGGTTGTTTTTAGCTGTTTTGTAAAAGCAGTTATCTGGTCTCAGAAGAACAAACCATGAACCTGGTGGCTTAGCATGGTGAGGGCAGGAGCTACTGCTGAAAAAGTAGCACAGGATTATAAATCAGTCGAATACCTGGAGAAAACAAAACAAAAAAACCTGCTTATGCTTATCACATGGTGACAAGTGGTCCAAAAGCCACCATTTTTTTCAAAAGGCAAAAGCACTACAAAATTAACTTCATTATGAAAATAGCAGAATAAAGCATTAAAAGTCTTTAATATTTAAATACATAAATAAATTTAGTAAAATACAACTTAATAAATCTGTAATAATTGAGAGTAAATCTTATAATTGAGTGATAGCTTTTCAAATAGTAAGTGTTTCCTTTTCTTATTGTGGGGTTTGTGTATTAAAAAAGTCTAGGAAACTAAAGTTCAGCATAGCATATGAATAGTTTTAGGCACAATATTCAGAAAGTTTATGGCAGGCTGAAAATGAAACGGTAGTTTGGTAAGAAACTCACAAAAAACTGGCTTAAAATATATAATTTGCAGCTGATTTCATTACAAAGCAAATTTATTTAACACCTTCTTATCATCCTGACAAAACTGAAAGAGCTAAGGAGTGCAGCAGATTTTTCAATAAACAGTTCAAAATGAAGACTTGGTGGATGCAAGAACAGTAACAAAATCACATTGTACTTTATTTGGCGGATCCTTGTTCTAGTTCAAAACTGGTATATCATCAGAAACGTCATTTGAATGGATTTATTTTTTTTTTTTTAAGCAGTCCTCTGCAGCACAGTAAGGCTCTAGTTTTACAAGCAGTTCAAGTGGCTCTTTCTTTGGAAAAGGAAGTCCCCTTCTGAATCACTCATTTTCACCCCCGTCCTTGCTGCTTTCTCTTTGCCAAAGCAAGAGTTTTTGGGCCACACAGTTAACTGGATCACCAGAAAATTGGCATAATGCACATGCAGAAATTTAGTCCAGGTCAGTTACCAAGTCCAGTTCACCCACAGCTACACACTTACGCTGATTAGAAGCGAGAAAGGTATATTGAGGAGAGGAAGGAAAAGAGGAAAACACCGTGAAAGTAAAAAGCTGGCTCTTCAAAGTAAAGCTGGCTCTGATTAAAGCTGCTTTTTAAAATACAGCACAATGCGCTTTGGAACATGGAAGAGATGGTGGCAAACATTGATACTGTGCTGCTCTAATGGAAGATGTTTCCAGTTAACTTCTAACACCGAACACTTTGGCGTGTTCATCTTGGTTTCATACACATGTATGAAACTGTCAAATATCACATATTTCTGAAACAAAGTTTTGTGTACATTTCTGTGAATAATCCGTTTACCAAATGGATATTAGATATACCTCTACTTCAAATTGTGGTCTCACAGGTAGAGAGACTATGCTTATTTTGGTTTAAAAAAATTCTGAAAGTTAGTCAAGATACTGAAAAACTGCTTTTTTGTCAGTTGTCAGATTTCCTCTCATTAAAATCTGACAGATACAAGTATTTCCTGTCTCCCTGAAGTTTCTACTGCCATCTGTTAAGTTTAGAATAATCCCTTTATTATAAACAACATGGGCAACTATAACGGACGTGTGAGCTGTGGCTCTGAGTTTAATTTTAGGTGTAAATATAAATTTATATGAGGCTACTCAAACTTGTACTATTCTCCTGGTTTTGTCGCAAAGGAATTAGAGGTACTGTAGTGTATTATTTTCAGATATCACTTGCAAGTGCTAAATGCTCTTCTCTATTTACTTTGAGAATCTCTGGGTTCCTGAACGCGGTAATTTGAACTAATTGACTGAAAAGAGTTGCAGAATGGGAACCAGCCTGTTTGTACACCAGTGAAGGTTTACGAAATAACGTGTCTTCTGAAAATGACAGCAGTTGATTTTTTTTGATTTATGCTTACAAGATTTTTTTTTCCCTTTTAGTTCTCATCCGTTTCATAACCATGCTCATTCTCAACATTTGGGTCACAGCCACAATCCTGCACTACAGGAAAACTAAAAAGACTGATTAGAAGACACTCATCAGCACACAACATAGTTACCATCAAAAAAACCTGATACAATTAAGCTTAAACAACACAACAAAGGTTGAGGAAGCACACTCTCTCTCTCTCTCTTAAGCTGAGTATTTATCCCTAAGCATACTTAGTACAGTCATGCTTATTTTCTCTTAGAAATAATTCTGATAAGATAATTAATTTAAGCAGCATATTTTTATTGGTCATTTAAGACAAGTTTCACTGATATCACATTTTCTCTGGATTTTTTTACTACATGAACAAGGTATTTCGTATTTAGATGTTTATATATTCTCGTATCACTTCAGTACTTTCTGGTTACATATAAGCAATTTTCTTCAATTATACAAGAGCAATTTTGTACCAACATATCAACTCATCTTTCTGCATCTGCTGTGAGTTTGAAAAATAACAACAGATGTTTGTCTTCTTGCAAGCAACTGAAGTAGTTTGACATTAACTAGCTGTATTTTAGGATGAAGAAAACCTGAGTCAAGGCCCAATTCAAAATAAGGTTCTAAATGTGTTTTACTATGTCACAAATCCAGCTGGGATTGTAGCGCTTACATGCAACACTTAAATAGTACAATTTATACAGCTGATACAGGATACCCACGGTCACTTTCTTCAATATACCCAGTTTTTATTAGGATAAGAGCAGAAACTCAACTATGAATTCTTCTTTTTCAACCTGAGCTCTCATTCATTGAACATACTGTTTTGGGAACAGCAGAACAAGAACGTATAGAAATTAATGAAACTTTGACCAGCAGAGTTAAAAACTGTGTTCAAGCAGAAGTGCCTGAACCGACACCCAGAGTCCCCAAATGCAGTCCGTACTGACAGGGACCCGTTTACATATGCAGCCTGATGCATCAAAGCAGACTCACCTCCAGTGGTTTTCAGTTTCTGATGATACTGCTCTGTGCTTTGTTAGTTTTTAGCCTGTCTGTGCTAAGTGTGCTGAAGAACGTAAAGACTTCACTTCCATTTTTACTCTGCAGATTCTAATCAATTTGTCGTCAGTATATTAAAAAAGGGAAAAGGATACTCTTGAGAACTGTTAACGGGGGATTTTGCTTTTGGAAGTAATGCCTTTCCAACCAAGAGGTACAGAAGTAATCACACAGCTTGCCTTCATTTCTCATTACGTTCTCCAAAATGGCAAGATACGCCTGTTCAAAAGAGTTCTTACGGTATTACTGTTGATTGGCATGTTAAAACCAAGGCACCCTTGATCCTGACACCCGTAAAAACTATGGGAAGACTGCATTGACCACATTTGAGGCAGGTTTTCCTTGCAACATGCTG